ATTCTTGATTCTGGAATTGCGCCTTCGTGTTTTTTTTTAAAATTGCCAATCTTGTTGCAGGTTTTGAGAAGCGGTAAGACAACATTGTCACTTTATCAGGTAGTTACTGTAATCAGTTGGGACTGAGTGCACATTTGAACAATCATAAGGTTTGAGTCAGTAAAATTTTGTAAAGTCAGTCTAACGTTGATCAATTTTCTAAGGAAAAATATTAAATAATTTTGTGCTATGGATGTTACTAATTTACATTGACTTCTTGCAGGTATTAACCAAGGTTCCACCTGTGGATTGTAAATAAAATGTATCTAGAATTTGGAGACAAACTATTTGCTTGAACAGTGAACTAGTCAGTGGAGGAGAGAAATTAAGGAAAATACTACATACTCCAAATTGGCAGAATACCAAATTCAGTTGCACAGAAAATAGGTTAAATAAGGGTTAGAAATAAATACACTGGAGATTAATCAAGTGGGCAAACTGTGGCAGATGGAGCTCCAGTTAGGAAAGCATAAAATCTTCCAGTTGGGACTGAAGCAGAATAATTTACTGTATTTTATAAATGGCAATCTGGGGATAGCAGATGAGCAGAGAAAATGGGATCCAAGATCACTCCTTACTAAAAATTGATGATGAAATACAAAAAAAATTAAAATTGGCTTTTATTTCATTGGGATTGAAATCCGAAAGTGTGGTAATTACCTAACAGCGTTAGAGCACCAGCTAGACTGTATCTGGACTACTGCATTTAGTTTGGGGGACCATACCTCAATATACTGGCCGTGGGGAAATGTAACACATTTGTCGGAATTTGTCAAAAGAGTTAAATTGGAGTCAGATTTCTTAGGCTAGGCTTGCACCACCTCAGGATTTTAAAAACTATGGAGCGATCAAGTTGAATTGATTTTTATTCTGAATGGCAGGCAGTGACTAGTGGCATAATGCTGGGATTGGTACTGGACCCCAGCTATTCATAATATAGTGATTTAGATGAGGGAGCTAAATGTATTATTTAAAATTTGAAGATGACAAGACTGAGTGAAATGATGAGCTGAGGAGGAAGCAGATGTTTCGGTGCGATTTGGAATGTTTGAGTGAGTGGGCAGATGTATGACAGATGCGGTATAATGTGGATAAATGTCAGTCACAGAGTCATAAAACATAGGAAAAGGCCCTTTGGCCTACCATCTCTGTCAACCAACAAAATACACTAATCCCATTTTACCTGTATTTGGTCCATACCTTACTAAGCATTGGCATTTTTAAGTGCACATCCAGATACTACTTGAATGTGGTGAGATTGCAGTACCTGCCTCTGCTACCCCCTCGGGCAGCATGTTCCATATTTCTGCCACTCTCTCTGGGTGAAAAAAGATTTCTGATTTCCTCCTCTAAACCACTTACTCCTCACTTCAAACTTATGCCCTCTGGTGAGGTTATCCACATTGAGAGCAAAAGTAGGAAGGTAGATTATTATTTGGCTGTAAATTGAGAAAGGAAAATGTTTGACAAGACCTGGGTCTCCCTGTGTACCAGTCACTGAAACTAAGTGTGCAGGTGCAGCAGGTGGTAAAGACGGTAAACTATGTTGACCTTTATAGCGAGAGAATTCATGTGCGGGAGCAAGGAGGATGTCTTGCTGCAGTTATACAGGACATTGATGAGGGCACACGTGGGGTATTGTGTGCAGATTTGATCTTTGGCTGAGAAAGGATGATCTTGCTATTGAGAGAGTGCAGCAAACGCTTATTAAATTGATTCCTGGGATGCCAGGATTGGGTGTGAGGAGAGAGCGAGTCGGCAGTGTTGCCAAAGAAAGATATCTTGGGGTGAAAATTCACAGTTCCATGAAAGTGGAGCCGCAGGTAAATAGGATGATGAACATAACATAGAACATAAGAACTAGGAGCAGGAGTAGGCCATCTGGCCCCTTGAGCCTGCCCTGCCATTTAATAAGATCATGGCTGATCATTTTGAGACTTAGCTCCACTTACCCGCCCACTCACCATAACCCTTGATTCCTTTACTGTTCAAAAATGTATCTAGCCTTGCCTTAAAAAACATTCAGCGAGGTAGCTTCAACCGCTTCACTGGGCAGGGAATTCCACAGATTCACAACCCTTTGGGTGAAGAAGTTCCTCCTGACCTCAGTCCTACATCTGCTTCCCTTTATTTTGAGGCGATGCCCTCTAGTACTAGTGTCACCTGCTAGCGGAAATAACCTCCCTGCCTCCACCTTATCTATTCCCTTCATAATCTTACGTTTCTATAAGATCTCTCCTCATTCTTCTGAATTCCAATGAGTATAATCCCAGTCAACTCAGTCTCTCCTCATAATCCAACCCTCTCAACTCTGGAATCAACCGAGTGAATCTCCTCTGTACCCCCTCCAGTGCTAGTATATCTCTTCTCAAGTAAGGAGACCAAACTGCACACAGTACTCCAGCTGTGGCCTCACCAGGACTCTCTACAGCTGCAGCATAGCCTCCCTGTTTTTAAACTCCATCCCTCTAGCAATGGCAGACAAAATTCCATTTGCCTTTTGAAGGTGTTTGGCACGTTTGCCATCATAGGTCAAAACTCTGAATGCAGGAGTTGGGATGTTGTGTTATGGCTGTACAGGACATTGGTGAGACCACTTTTAGAATACTGTGTTCACTTCTGCTCTCCCTCCTATGGCAAGGATGTAGTTAAATTTGAAAAGGTTCAGAAAAGATTTACAGTGATGTTGCTGGGTTTGGACGGTTTGAGGTATTAGAGACTGATTAGGCTGGGGCTTTTTTTCCCTGGAGGGTTGGAGGCTGAGGGGTGACCTTATAGAGGGCTGGGGAGCCCAAATCTAGAGGGTATAGGTTTAAGCTGAGAAGGGAAAGATTTAAAAGGGACCTGAGGGGCAACTTTTTCACGCAGAGGCTGGTGCACGTATGGAATGAGCTGCCAGAGGAAGTGGTGGAGGCAGGTATAATTACAATATTTTAAGAAGTATCTGAATGAGCACATGAATAAGCAGGATTTAGGGGGATATGGGCCAAATGGGACTAGATCAGTTTAGGAAAGCTGCTCGGTATGGATGAGTTGTACCGGAGGGTCTGTTTCCATGAGCTGTATAACTCTGTGACACTATCTCACAGAATCTTTTAAAATTCTAACAGAACTAGGCAGGCGAGATACAGGAAGAATGTTCCTACTAGTGGAGGGAGTCCAGAACCAGGGGTCATTCTTAATGATAAATTGTAAACTTCTTAGGACCAAGATGAGGAAATAATTCTTCACCCAGAGAGTGGTGAGCCTGTGCAATTGACTGTGGTTGAGGCCAAAACATTGTTTTCAAGAAGGTGGTAGATGTAGCTCTTGTGGCTAAATGGATCATGAGATATTGGGGATGAAGGCAGCTTGGGATTAGGGTGTTGAGATTGGTGATCAACCAGATTGAATGGTAGTGCAGGCTAGAGTGGTTGAATGGCCTGCTCCTGCTCCCCCCTCTCCGATGTTTTTATGCAAGAATTTAATAGAGTATGTGGGCAGAACTTTTTCGCGTGGGACAGTCTAGAACAAGACCTAATCGTAAAATTAGAACAAAAGGGTCAGGCATCACCTTTTGAGAAGCACTTCTTCACAAAGCATAATGGCAGTCTGGGACAGATTTTTTCCAGGAACCTGCTGAGGCCAGGTCGGTAGATAATTTCAAACCAACTTGTTAGACAACAATATTAAAGGACGCAAGACTGAGTGGATAAATGGGTATCTTCACTCCTTGCCCACCATCATTTAACTGAATATTGGTCAAGCTCAAGGCTCATTGGCTTTTTTGCTGAGTATATAGAATCACTGACTAAGGCCATTCCATATATTTAATTGAACTTGTAGCTTTTGAAAGACTGACCAGCAATAAACAACTGAGGGAGTGGGAGGGGTTAAGACAGATATGAATGATGGAGAATGCATTTTTTTTCAAATAATTAGTTTATTTTTCCCAGTACTGGCTGTATACCACGCTTGCCTCTGCTCCCTCTAATTTGACCTCAAAAATGAGAGAGAATTGTGGAATTCTTTGCTGGCCCCAGTTTCATGATGTTTAGCTGGCTAAGTAGCAACTCTCACTCCACTTGCCCAATAACTAAACATTTCCCTTGGTTCTCCCTTGCGCTTACAATGAACCCATGTGTCTGTGAAAAGAAAATGATAGTTTTAAAGTGTAAAGAAGTGGCACTATTCACTGCACTGGTATCTGTCAATGGTTCTAAGACTTTAATCCGGCTACTGGTCCTGCTGCTGTTCTCAACTGAGCCTGATGAGGCATTTTCCACCGTGTTGGTCGCGCTGCTCTGCTCTTTTTTTCTCTTGACTTCAAGGAAAGCAATCCAACAGATTTGCAGTCACGAGCCTAGGTTAGTTTTGTTTTAAAGTACAAACTGATTTGAACGTGATTTAAGAACTTTAAACATGGTCTTCAACCACAGGTCGAAATGTGGAAGCAGAATTCGATTATGGATTTCACCAGGATTAACTTGTAAGATCTTGTTCAGTTATTAAGTACAAAATAGAAAAATAAAAGCATAATATTAAGCATTAACAAAAGAAAAACAAACTAGTTGTCCAAAAATGGTAGTTTAGGATGTCCTCAACTTGACTTTTCTAATTAATTATAGCAAAGCATAAAGGATGAAACATCGAGAGGATAGGTGTTGGTTGTTGCGTTCAGATAAACAATTGAAGAGGCTGAAAACATAGAGCTGAGAAAGAAATAGCATTTTGGGACACTTTTTTAAACCAAGAAGATAGTGTTGATATATGGTGCTGCCACCAGAACATATACTAGATGTAACAAACTTCAAACATTTTGAATTTTAAAATCAAAATGAAAAATTTCATAATACCAGTTGCACTAAATGTCCAGTCACTAACTGCTATTGGGTTCATGTAATCTTATTACACTCCCTTCTTGTATTTTGACATTATTCTTATTCAACTGCATTGTTATGTAACAATTCTGTATTTTGCAGAGATTTATTCAGTACCTGGCATCTAGAAATACTTTGTTCAACCTCAGCAATTTTTTGGATAAAAGCGGGACACATGGTAAGATATCAGCATTTGTGTTTGATTTTTAAGAAAAACTCTAATGTTAATCTCAATTTATGTAAGTTTCTACTAACAGATATTAATTTTCTTTAATATTGAATAGATTTCATATTTTCTTTAGATATGAATTCCTTCCTTCAATATGGCTTGCACTTCTGAAACTAATTTAAACAGCTTATACTGGCTTATATGTAACTATTTTAAGGGCCCTACTATATTAGATGTTTGCTTCCATGAAAACAGAAAGCAATACTCCGATTTGGTGAAAGTGAGCAAAGATATTTATGACAGTAATAACTGAGACCAGCACATGGTGGAAAGTAAGCTGCCAGTTTATACTTTGTGTAGGTGATGCCCAAGTATGAGTCCCATGAATCTTTAAATCAGGAGAATTCTAAGATGTTAAAAACAGTGCCAGCCATTGATAAGTTCCTGCTGCACCAGGAAAAGATCTGGTGGGTGGATAGTTAACACAAGTTCAGTAACTTGGGTCCAACAGGCAGAAAGGTTGTAGAGTTATCAATTTTAAGTGAAAATTGGTCACCAGAATCCATTATGCAACTTTTTGAAGGTTTGAATGGCAGCAATGACTAAGATTCTTGATGAAACACACATCTCGGGTCAAGCTTAAAACATTTTTGGTCCCTTATGAACCCAAGAGAGCAGTAAGCTCCTTCATGCCTCCTCTGGCCTGACCTGCTCCTCTGCCACACCTTGCCCTGTGCCCCTATTACTGCAAATAGTTTTGTGTGTTGCACTATAGATAGATCTTATCCTTTATTGGCTGCTAAATAAACAAACTGCTAAGCCTACAGGATGGTATGATGCCATTTATGTCATCGCTATGAACTCCTAAAACAATTAATTCAGTATCAAAGCATCTTTCCTGTAATATGTTGACAGTGGGCAGAGCCTGTACCTTCCTAGCCAGATAATGGTCTAATGGCGTCCTTTTTGACAGTGTGGTAGGAATTTTGTAATAATAAGACCCAGCTGATCTTATCACTCCCTCAGGCTACCCCGGCCTCCATTTTAAGAATTCAAGTCATTACCTCAGTTCTAGCATTTGCTTCAAAATGTGAACTCGACCTGAGATTTAAGATTTACTTGATGAAACATAATCGTTGCTGCCATTCAAACTAAAGTTACATAATGGATCCTGGTGACTGTTGGAACCAATTTGCATTTCAGATTAACAATTCTACAATATTTCTGTTCTGAGGAGAAGGGTCACCGGACCTGAAACGTTAACATTGTTTTTTCCTTCACAGATGCTGCCAGACCTGCTGAGCTTTTCCAGCAATTTCTGTTTTGTTTCCTGATTTACAGCATCCGCAGTTCTTTCCTTTTTTTTAAAATCTACAATATTTATGCCTGTTGGGCCTATGTGACTGCATTTATTTTAACAATTGAGCATCCCAAAGCGCTTTATAGCCAGTAAAGCAGCTTTTTTGAAGTGTGTTTACCATTCTATGCATATGATAAAATTTTAACATTTTATAATTCCTCTAATTTCTCAGTGTACAGTGTAATTAATTCTGTTCTAATATCCAATGTTCGGTATTCTCTATCTGTCCCTAACTACAGAAAGCTAAAATTTTTCTTCTTTCTTGCCGCTGCATGCCACACAATCCTGTGATTGTTTGTTTGTCTAGAAATTATCTCTTGCATAAACATTTCTAAGTCAAACTGCCATGCTTGAAGAGACAAACAACAATTTTTATTTTTTCATTTTAACAAGAGTTTGCATTGAGTTTATAGGAACACCGGGATAGAAATATGTCATTCAACCCCTTAAGCCTGTTCCACCATTCAGTGAGATCATAGCTGATGTGTGGCCTACACTGCATCTACCTGCCTTTGGCCTATGTCCGTTTAATATCCTTGCTCAACAAAAATGTATATATCTCACTTAAAATTAACAACTGATGTAACATCCACTGCAATTTGTGGAAGAGTTCCAAACATCTACCACCCTTTGTGTCCAGAACTGCTTCCTGACATCTCTTCCTGAAGAGTCTGGCCTGAAGTCTCAGACTATAGCACCTAGTTCTACAATCTCCAACCATTGGAAATAGTTTACCTTTATCTAACCTGTCTTTTCCTGTTAATATCTCAAGGACTTCGATTTGATTACTTGGTAACCTTCGCATTCTAGATAAAACAGACATATAATTCATATAATGTCTTGTCATAACTTAACCCCTGAAGTCCAGGTATTATATTTGTAAACCTACTTTGTAGTCCCTCCAAGGCCAATATACCCTTCCTAAGGTGTAGCGTCCAGATCTAATCTCCGGACTCCAAAATTTATTCAGTTTCTTTTGTACAATCTGGCAATATAGAACATGCAAATACATCTTGCTGCCTGTCCTGTTTTTAGGTCTAAGAAGATTGTTGTCTTGTTTTAAAACTCTGTCACATCTTGTTTGGAAATGGAACCACCCACTAACGAACAGAAGAAAATTTGTGATCTGTACTTGAAGTAATCCAATTTGGGTTCTGAATCATCTGACTGGCTTGGCCATGCTAATGTGAAGTGCTGTACATACACTAGTATTTTACATGTTAGTGGTTCAGTATTCTGTTGAAGATAAAGGAGAAATTAGGTGTGATGTGCAAAACGTGCCATATGCCTACTGTACCGCTGGGCTTCTGTCTCATTAGAGAGAGATGACTGGTATTGGTTTTGTCTGACAGTCACCATGCTTCAAGCAAGGGGTGAGGTTGAGAAGGAGATTTCCTCGTGGTAAGTTCTGCCAGTGCAGCAATTGAATCTGTGCTTTTTGGGTTGTTGGCACTTGTCTAACATCCATCAGTGTCTGTTGTGACAGGCATTTGAGAGGAAGACTTAAATCCTAAGGTAAACCTGTATGAAGGAGACAACCATGTTAGCATCACTACTCCTGCACCTGAAAGCAGTACCAAAGTGTTCATTACTCTTTGCTATACAAGAAAGTTTTCCAAGTATTGATCCTTGCAAGAGTAACAAACAGTCCACATCTATCAGAGCTATTTTCAGTCTCTGTTGATGGTACTCTTATGATTTGGCATTGGGGCAAAGACTGCAGTTGTATACCTTGACAGCACAAAAGGAGGCCATTCAGCTCATCGTGTCCATACCAGCTTTCTGTAGAGTGGCCCAATTAGCCCCATTCCTTACTTACTCTAGTCCCTAAATTTTGTTCCTTTGGAGCCATAAATTGTTTCTGCTGCTTTTTGACGCTGGTGGAAGCAAGTTCAAGGACATTAGCACACTTTTTAAATGCAGAAAGTAACAATCTATGTTCATTCATCCTTGCACCACCAGATAATAGAAAAAAGAACCTGTCTTTGTTTAGCTTATCTGAACCTATCATAGAATTATACATATTAATGAAATCTCCTCTCAAACCCCTTTGCTCCAAGGGGAATAACCCTAAGCTATTCCAAGTAAATTTGGAACCAAGTTTACACTGTCCCTGGAAACAATTCTAGTAAACCCCTGCATCTTGTCAAGAATCTTCATTAAATCTTCAAAAGGATAGTGACCAAATGTGGACATTGTACTCTAGTGCTCTGGATAGGGACCTGATCAGGTGTATCCTAGAACTTCGTGGGAAGCTAGGGAAGAGATTACTGGGTCCCTTGATAAGACATTTGTATCATCAACAGCCATGGGTGAGGTGCTGGAAGACTGGAAGGTGGCTAATGTAGTGCAATTATTTTGAGGCTGTAAGGAAAAACCAGGGAACTATAGATCAGTGAGCCTTGGGCCAGTTGTGGTAAGTTGTTGGTGATTGAGGGATAGAATTTACATGCATTTGGGATGGCAAGGACAACTTGGGGATAGTCACCATGGCTGTGTGCATGGGAAATAATGTGCCACGACCTTGATCGAGTTTTTGGAAGAGGTGGCAAATGAGATTGAAGGCAGAACACTAGACATTGTCTAAATGGACTTTAGCAAAGCATTCGACAAGATTCCGCATAGTACAGTGGTTGGCAAGGTTAGATTAAATGGGATCTAGGGAGAGCTAGCCAATTGGATTCAAAATTGGCTTGAAGGTAGGAAGCAGAGTGGTGGTAGAGGGTTGCTTTTCAGACTGGAGGCCTGTGACAAGCAGTGTGCCACAAGGATCAGTGCTGGGTCCACTGCTTTTTGTCATTATATAAAAGATTTGAATAAAGGAGGGATGGTTAGTAAGTTTGCAGAAGACACCAAAATAGGTGATGTACTAGACAGTGAAGAAGGTTATCTCGGACCTTGATCAGATGGTCGAATAGACCAAGGAGTGACCGATGGAGTTTGATTTAAATGAGTTTGAGGTGTTGCATTTTGGTAAGGCAATCAGGGCAGGACTTGTGTACTTAATAGCATGGCCCTGCGGAGTGTTGCTGGACAAAAAGACCTGGGTGTAAAGGTACATAATTCCTTGAAAGTGAAGATGCAGGTATACAGGGTGGTGAAGAATGTGTTTGACATGCTTGTCTTCGTTGGTCAAGAGTTGGGGTGTCATGTTGCAGCTATTACAGGACATGGGTGAGGCCACTTTTAGAATAGTGCGTACAGTTCTGGCCTCCTGACTTGAGAGGGTGCAGAAAAGATTTACAAGAATGTTGCCAGGACTGGAGGGTTTGAATTATGAGAAACTGGGGCTTTTTTTTTCTCTGGAACGTCAGAGGTTGAGGGAGTGACCTGATAAAGGCTCATAAAATCATGAGTGGCATGCATAGGATGAATAGCCAAGGTCCTTCCCCTGGGGTAGGTGAGTCCAAAACTAGAGAGCATAAGTTTAAGATGAGAGGGGAAAGATTTTGAAAAGGACCTGAGGGGAAACATTTTCTGAGAGGGTGGTGCATGTATGGAATGAGCTGTCAGGAAGTAGTGGAGGCAGGTACAAATAAACATTTAAAAGGCATATGGATGGGTATATGAATAGGAAGGACTTCGAGGAGTATGGGACTCTGTCAGATTGGGATGTTGGATCAGGCGGATGAGTTGCACTGAAAGCTGT